CTTGGCTCAGCTCAAAACGGGGAACCCGGCCTCCACTTCAGCCTGTGAGCTCCCTTGGAAGGGGGACCTCACGGTTCCCTGATGTACCCTCAGCCCACAACAAGGGGCCCAGCACACAGAAGGTGCTCAATACATGCTGGAATAAATGACTAGAGGTCTATCCCCGAGGCCAAGACAGGATGATTGTGGGACACAGAAAACCCACAGCTCCACGGCACCTCCTCCAAGCTCCCCCAGGGCTGCGGTCCACCGGGAGTCTCACCCCGGGCAGCCCCTGCTGGGGAGAGGCCCAGGATGCAGCTGGGCAAGCCCTGCTGTGTGGTCCAGGTCAAGGTCGCACCTCTCTGGCCCCCAGCAAGAGCTGCAGGTTCTCGTTTGAGACCTGCCCCTCTGGGCCTCCGCCTCCCCCTCCATCAATGGGGATGGCAAAGTGGAGCCTCCCAGGGAGGCCGCGGCGGTTCAGCCTCCCTGATTCCTGGGAGGGGAAGAGAAAAGGGAAAGCAGAGCAGCCAGGGGGCTAGTGACCACTGCATACAGTTTCATTGGTCAAAAGTGACCCCAGAAAGGGTCCCAAGTGGCCTGCAATGACATGGCCAGGGGGTCCAGGGCCTCAGGAAGCAAACGTGGGGTTTGTACATGCAGGACTCCGGCTCCGTGGAGGCTCCCTCCATGACCTATGAGCATCCTCTGCGTGGATGACTCCACGCTCTTCACATCCCCTTCCTTGGCTCCAGCTCCCATCCCCAACCAGCAGTTCTTCCTTATATCTAACTGAAATCTTTCCTGCTGCATCACCTCCTGACCCTAGCTGAAGCACAATAAGCATCCCCAGCCCTACCCGACCCTGTCTGCAGAGCTTATAGCAGCTCTGGCTCAGGGCGGTAATCCTGCTGACAATTAATTGGCTTTTGTTGGAGGAGAATGAATACCGTCTCATCTTAATCTTCTTCATTATTCTCCTTGTTCAGCGTCAACACAAGATCAGGTTTAATTTACGGAGGAAAAAAATGGCCAAGTCATTACTCACCAGGAGATCAGATAGGATCTGCCTGAGTGTGCTGTGTTCACTGGAGGCCAGGGGGGGCTCAGGGAAGGCCCAGGGCCCCCCGCTGGGGCAGAGAGGGACGGGGTCTAGCTCCTGGACCCCAAAGGCCACCAGCCCTTTCTAGTCCTAGAGGACCCAGGTCTAGAGGACCCAGCCTCCTAAGTTTTTTCTGCAGTCCCTGTATTACAAGAGCCTCCAAAACCAGCCCCCCGAGGACCTGCCTCAGCCCCCAAGCAACTGAGAGAGCCACGTCTTTGGTTTCAAATCCCGACCAACAGGGCTGAGGCCCCCCAGCCTGGGGACCGCCTTGACAATGCTGCCACCCAGTGGTGCTCGGAGGAACTGCCTCTGCCTCCCTTCCCTGACTTCACACAAACATCCAGCCTCGACTTGCGTAGCCATGAATCACAAAAGAGGAGCACAGAATGTCCCACAATGCCACAGAAGGTCAACTGGAGGTGGCCACCAAGAAATCTAAGAGGAAATTCACTTAACCTCCTCTGATCCCTTAACCAAAGCGTCCCAGAGAACCGAGCACCCCTTCCCGCTGCCTGGGGGTAGTGCCACCCACAGAAGTCCTGGGGCCTCTGTCCTGGTCACCTCCCACCCCTGGGAGCCCCTGGATCCTCCCCTGCTCTGTCTGCAGCAGGCACCATCTTCGATCATGCCCACGGCGACCTGGTTCAGGCCGAGCCTGAAGCCCAGCCTTGCCCGCCTCCTGGTCAACTGACCCAGGCAGCTCCCCACCTCTGAAGACCTGCTCTGTTCTCCATGAAGTGGGGACGTCATACCCACCAAAGAGGCCACTGCCCAGGCGAGAGGGGCCTGTGCTCTCAGCTCGGGAGCTGGCAGCCACAAGGCCCCAGCAAACGCCCATCGTCATTGCCACCGTCACTGTCCACAGCACATGGTCACCACCCTGTTCATCCGGCCACTCTCGGGAAGTCTGGCTTCATAACCTCAGCTGCTGGTGCCTGACTCCCACCCCATCCAGCTTTTGATGGAAAGAGCAAAGCTTCCTAAAGGAAACTGACATCACATCTGCTCCCCAGCATCTACAGCGTATTGGGCAGAGCACAGAGTAGGACCTCAGGAGACGCAGGGTTACCTGTCTGCCTCTCCCAGCTCGTGTCAAGTCACTTCCCTACTCGCTGCTCCCACTGCCTTTCTGATCTGTAAATAGGCTCATTCCCACCCCAGGGCCTTTGAACTTGATTCTCCTATAATGTTCTCCCCCAGGGAAATGTATTGATCCTCTTCACCATTCAATTCCAAGGCCAGTTTTTCAGAAAGGTCCTTCCTGATTACCTTGGTCAGAGGAGCACTCTACTGTGCTCACTCTTTATTTACTTTAGAGGTCAAGTGCCTGGTGGCTAAGGAGATACCACTCATTAGCTGCATAGCCTCAGGCAAGTTGCTGAACTTCTCTGTTTAAATTTGTTTCATCTGTTAATAAAAATGGAAATAACAGTTTCCATTTCATAAGAATATGATAAATCTATGTAAATGAAACTCGGAATAGCGCCTGTTGTGTGCGCTGTGACAGCATGCTGGTGATCCTGTGATTCTTCATCTAGTTCCTCCACCTAGATCACATATTCCAGGAAAGCAGAGTCATTGCCCAATACATAGTAAGTGCTCAATGAATATGGAGGGAATATGCAGCCCCTGTCTGCCGTCTCTGGCTTCAACTGACCCCACTGGCCAGAGAGAGCCCTGGGATGTCCCCGCTGGACAACACAATGTTTTTCTCACAGCAGGCTGATCTGACTTCCTGTGACAGTCACATGTAGGGCCGGCTCTGCCCTCTAGGGTGGGGACCGTACAATTGAGCACTTGGAACCTGGTGCAGCTGGGTTGGGCTTGTGCTGGACTCGGGGGTCAGTTCTCTGGTGCTCAATCTCCTCATGTATAGAAGGAGTGGTGACACCCTCTCCTGCCCCCATCTCTGACTGGACAGAGGGAGGCGTGACAGGAAGTGCTCCGTGCACCATGAGCAGGACAGGCCACCTTCCCCTACAGCACCAACCTCTGGACAGCGCAGAGGCCACCAGAGTCCTCTGGTCTCCCTGAACTAAATGCCATTGTCAAATCCAACTGTCCCTCCAATGACCGCCACTCATGGACAGGGGGTCAACAGCCCAACCTCCATGCCCCTCAGGCTCCTGTGGGCTTCTGACTCCTTCCTCTAAGACCAGGCAGTTGGCTAGAAGTGGCCTTGTGGGGCCTGCCCCTCCTGCCCCCCCAGCCCCCCTGGTCCCTCGGCCCCTCCTGCCCATCATCCATCCCAACCCCAGGCCTGTCCCGCCTCCTCCCACCCTTGCTCCGGGTGCACTTGGCTTTGGTTGCAGGCCACAGGCCAACTCCCACCGCTGCATCCCCAGCCAGAGCCCCGGGGCCCCCAGGGCCTCTCTCCTGGATGCACAGGGGCCCCTCAGCTCAGGGGGCTCCCCTGCAGCTCCTCCCACACTCCTGCCCTGACACCC